TTTTTTTTTTTTTTTTAACATTCGCCCAAGGATGTTTTCCATTGCTTTTCGGGGCGGGGAGAGAGAAATACCGATGTGAGAGACACACCAATTGGTTGTTTCGGGCACATGCCCTGACCGGTGCCAGGGATCGAGACTGCAATCGAGGTAAGTGCCCTCTGCTGGAATCAAACCTGGGATCCCTCAGTCCGAGGGCCGATGCGCTAACCACTGAGCCAAATCCGCCAGGGCCAGAGTCTCTACTCTTAACCCCAACACCACACTGCCCCTTCTGGTGAGGGAGGTCAAGACTCCTAAGAGGGTTCAGTGGGCCAAGAGAGGCTGAAGTTTACAATGGGTGCAGCATTCTTCCTCTCTTCCCTCAGGCCTGTCTGGCCACCTCTGGCTCTGTAAGCACTGCCATTTCCACCCCTTAGCCCTAAGTGACATCCTATTATCTCATCAGCACTCTCGTACAGGGTTGGAACTGTTCTTATAGCAACCCAGCCAAAGCTAGGTATAGCCAAAGGAACTTACACTGATAAATAAAAGAAAGCAAGAGCAACAAAAACGCAAAATGGATGAATTTATAGAGAGCTCAGAACCAAACTTAACTGAAGGTTGTAGACAAGATCAATGCTTCCCAAGCTTATTCCATCATAGGAATCACATGGGCACTTGTTAAAAATACTAATTTTCTGGCCCCTTCCCTAGAGATGCATTTAGGGCAGGCCCCTGAAATCTGTATGAAACAAGCATCCAGATAGTTCTTAGATCAGGTAAGTTGGAGAAAGTTTAGATGATATTGATTGCTGATACCACTCTTTATATAAACCAGATGCTGGGTCCTTTCCTTCACCTTAACTTTGCTGTGGGAACCTTGTCTAAAGATAGGATTGCCTAGTGGTTCAGGTCTGACTGCTCTTTGGTAGGGGAGTGTCTTTGGGTGAGCTCTCACCTAGCTAAAAGCAGCTGCGATGACACTCCAGCCTCTGGGGATGTGCTCCAACCAGAGGAATATCAAGTTCACGTAACTTCAAAGCCCAAAGCTTGTAATTTTCATGTTTAACATTTCTGGACCCCTTGAACAATAAGGAATGTGATTCTCTCCAGCGACAGAACATTTTGTCTTTTCCCTGTCCATTAGTCTGTGATAAGTATTTGCAACTCCTAAAATGTCTCCTTTCTATCAATATTCCTTGATACCTGGAGCCAAATATTTCTTTAGATGACTGGGTGGGAATTCATATTTTTTTAATTTACAAGAACTTAACAGTAAGGTTTTATATTTGGAATTCCTTTGCCTTTCAATTTGTCATTGAGGACATAGCCCTCTTCCTTCTGGAAAGAGCCAGATAAGTAATAGGTCTTTATTTTCCACACCGGCCACATCTCAGGCCTAATGGTTCTCGGCGGGTGACATCAAAGCAGAGTCGAGTTTTCATACTTAGGAACAGCTAAAGTTATTTAGAGCAAAATCCGGTACATAAGGTAAGCAATCAACCCTGGAAATGCTAATTTGGATTTTTAAAATTTCAACTGGCCCTGGCTGGGTGGCTCAGTTTGGTGGCCCACCCTCCCGTACACTAAGAGGTCACGGGTTCAATTCCTGGTCAGGGCACACACCTAGGTTGCGGGTTTGATCCCCAGTCGGGGAGCATATGGGAGGCAACCGATCGATGTTTCTTACATCAGTGCTTCTCTCTCTCTCTAAAACATATCCTCGGGTGAGGACTGAAAAAGAAAACTTGGGCTGCACTCCCTGGAGAGATTCCACAGGGGAGTGTAATGGCGAAAAGCATGGGCTCTGGACTCTGACTGCTCAGGGATGAATTCCTGCTCAATCCTGCACTGTTACTTAAACTCTCTGCACCTCAGTTTCCCCATGAGTAAAATGAGCATAACAATAGTTCTAACCAAAGAGGATTATTGTAAGGACTAAAGGAAATAAGACGTGCAGTTCGTAAAGTGTTAGGATTTATTACTTGGAATAAGTGCTCAATAAATGCTTGCTTCTCTTAGGGAACCGTGAGGTTTGGGGAAAGGGTCGGAGAGCGAGGCTTTAAAGGGCTTACCCTCCACCGCTTCAACTGTTTTCTTACGTTGGGCTGCTGAAGTCAGGTTTTGTTTGTTCCACAAAGTTTGAAAACCAGTAGTGAATGTCTGTTTTAGAGGAAAAGACAAGCAAGATATATTGCTAAATGATAAAAGCAGGTTGCAAAACAGTACATTATAAAATGATCCTATTTTTTCCTAGGTCTAAATAATCTTCAAAAATATTTCCAAAATGTGATTATTATTGGATGGTAGAATTAAAGAAAACTTTTATTCTTTTTTCACATGTTGCTAACCTTCATTTTATATATTTTGCAATAAGAATTTAACTAAGTACATTTCTATTAGGAATTAAAGTATTCTTAAAATTTGTTTAAAGTCTGCATTCTTAAATGGCAAAAAATCAAAACAAAACAAGCAAAGCAAAGATTTAAGAGGTGGCATTAAGTAAAAATTCCCTTCAATAAATTGTTCTGTTTTCTCCTAGATTTTAGATGCAAATGGCAATGTTCTACCTCCTGGACAAGAAGGAGACATTGGCCTTCAAGTTCTACCCAAACGACCATTTGGCCTTTTCACTCATTATGTAGTAAGAGACTTATTAAATAACCTCTTATTTTCTACTTGTTTCTCAAAAGTCCTTGGTAATTATCTATACTTGTCACAAAACATACCTAGGATAGGTACTTGGCCTTCTATTTTAATTTTTAGTATTGTTGAAAATATTACAAATGTTCCCCCTCTCCTCCC